TCTTTGGAGGATTTATTTTCCACTCAGCACCCTCTTTGTCCACAGGCGAAAAGTCGCTAGCCGTCGCTACTCTATTGCTATTTCCATGTAAAAATGCTCAGATGAACTCCAGTCTTTAGATCTACCATTTCAGACTTATACAACTACGGTCCACTAAACTACATCCACAGAGTCAAATCAGCCTCATTTCCTTCGTATTCTAATGATAAACAGTTCTCTCAGTTTTCTCCAAGAACAGACCATTGTATGCGTGATTCACTGAACACTTTAATCTTTATCTCTTCAATCAAAGGCCAATCGTTATATATCCTCCTCATCCCCATTATGTTTATTTCCTACCAACTTGTCTACTAGTCGTACTACTCGCCTCATTCAGCAATTTTCTTTTGATAACAACAGGTTTACAAGTTTCGGCGACTGTTAACAGTGTTGTCTCAAAGCACTTTGAGCTGTCGCTCAAAGCTAAAAGGTCATTCTTCCATTCCCAGCTCATTTGTTGGGTATAATTGTATATCGTTCTATTTGTTCATCTCTGTTATTTTATACTTTTACCACAAGTTCTCCATCAAATGAATATTCTTGGCTCAATCTGATTCGTCCGTTCAAGAATGATTGTTAGAGAAAAGATCCAGGAACAACTTGCTTGTTTCAATACGCGTATAAAAAAAAACTAATAGGTTTCATCAGTTGTCGAAAAGAACGTGTTACAGAGGTGTTCCTCTCCAAGAGACGAGAAGTAATTAAATGTGAAAGAAAATATTGATTATCACCCCATAGCTTTGCCGCCGTCCTGGGTAAAACGATAAACTACATCCGCGCCCTGGATAAGACGATAAACTACATCCGGGCCCTGAGTAAGACTATATTCTACATCCACATACTTGGTGAGACGATAAACTACATCCGCGCCCTGTGTAAGACGATAAACTACATCCGTGCCCTGGGTAAGACGATAAACTACATCCGTGCCCTGGGTTAGACGATAAACTACATCCGGGCCCTGAGTAAGACGATAAACTACATCCGGGCCCTGAGTAAGACGATATTCTACATCCACATGCTTGGTGAGACGATAAACTACATTCGCGCCCTGTGTAAGACGATAAACTACATCCGCGTCCTGGGTATGACGATAAACTACATCCACGTCCTGTGTAAGACGATAAACTACATCCGTGCCCTGGTTAAGACGATAAACTACATCCGCGTCCTGGTTAAGACAATAAACTACATCCGCACCCTGGGTAATCCGTTAAACTACATCCGTGTCCGGGGTATGACTGTAAACTACGTCCAAAAACAAGGCCTCTGATCAGGAGGTTTTGAGGAGCATGAAACCACCTTTTAATTGCTGGTGTTCTCAGGTCCACCCTGACACCACGTGGTAGCACCCGTTAGGGTACCAGCTATGGGCAAATAATTAACACCCAAACTTGGGTCAAAATACGATGAAAGTGTAAAAATATGTTTTAATACCAGAAATACTTTGTAAAAAAAAAAAAAAATTATTACCCGCAATGCATTTTTTGAAAAATAAAAATATTACAAGCGAAGGAAAATTCTTACCAGAAATAAATTTTTTGAAGGAAAAAAAATATTAATAGAAATAGATTTTTGGAAAAAAATATTACCAACAATGAAAATTTTGTCGGCATTAAATAACCCATTGAGGTTGATATGCCGTAAATCAAAATAAACCAACCAAAACAAACACATAGCTTTGCTAGTTTTGCTAAGAAGTCGTTAGGTGTCGCTTTCAAACACATATAAAAACGATAAGCTCCCTGCCTTTATGTAATTTCTTAATTTTTTTTCCTCCCAGCATATTGGAGTGACAACGTCAACCGGGACCTTCTCCCAGTCATAGGGATATCTTTCCTCGGGGGACTGAACTTCATGTATACACACACACAATCAAACGTTTAATGTCTCCTTTTTTGAGTGTATTTTCTCCCTCTTGTTACTCAGATATATAAAAACACAAAACAGAAAATATAGCCCTGTTGGTATTTATCTTCTATTTCTTTACACCCGCAATTTACATGCTCAAAATATAATTACCGCTGCTTTTAGTCTAAGCAGATGCAGTGTCGCAACAAACGGAATGCAACTTGGAATAAATTAGCATATGAAGAATTCTAAAGTTTATGCATTACGGCTATCTTTATGCATCTTGATAGCCTTGAATAGAGGAGTTTATATATTTCAGCTTACACACAACTTTTATTCCGCGTCTCTGTATTGGTCTATTTATAAATCAGTTTTATATGTGCCTATTTCATTCTGTGACGTCCACTGTAGAGTGACAGAGAGCGGGACAATTCTAGTTAGTAAAATTAAAGTTTAGTTAAATCGTGTCGTGGTCATCAAATATTGCGGTAGGTGCTGGCTGAAATGACCTTGTGAAGTTACCAAATGCTGGGGATACTAATTGCTCAATAACAATGTCAATGGAAGAAGCCTCCATTAATATTTCCATGTCAAAATGCACAGATGAGCTCCAGACTTTAGTTCTGCCAGTTCAGACCTATACAACTACGCTCGGCTATACTACATCAACGGAGTCAAATCAGCCTAATTTCCTTCATATTCTAATGATGAGCAGGCAGTCCTCTCAGTTTTCGCTATACTACCTCCACGGAGTCTAATCAGCCTAATTTCCTTCATATTCTAATGATAAGCAGGCAGTCCTCTCAGTTTTTCGCTATACTACCTCCACGGAGTCTAATCAGCCTAATTTCCTTCATATTCTAATGATAAGCAGGCAGTCCCCTCAGTTTTCGCTATACTACCTCCACGGAGTCTAATCAGCCTAATTTCCTTCATATTCTAATGATAAGCAGGCAGTCCTCTCAGTTTTCGCTATACTACCTCCACGGAGTCTAATCAGCCTAATTTCCTTCATATTCTAATGATAAGCAGGCAGTCCTCTCAGTTTTCGCTATACTACCTCCACGGAGTCTAATCAGCCTAATTTCCTTCATATTCTAATGATAAGCAGGCAGTCCTCTCAGTTTTCGCTATACTACCTCCACGGAGTCTAATCAGCCTAATTTCCTTCATATTCTAATGATAAGCAGGCAGTCCTCTCAGTTGTCTCCAAGAACTCCCACTTTGTGGAAAAGACCAATGTCTGAGTGATTCCATGAACGCTTCACTTTTTATCTCTTCAATCAAAGATCAATCGTTACAATGCCAATGGCAATGGAAGAAGTCTCCAGATGTTTATGACTTAAAAGATCAAGTGACTGGTAGTTAATAAGTAAGTGAGTGGAAGTTGCGGTTGAAATTTTTATTCTTTGAGGGGACTGGAAAGTGGTTCTTGGGTATGACCTAAAACTCTACAGAACAATGGAGTCTCGATTAGGGGACAGAATTACGGTACCCCAAACCATTGTTATCCACGGGAGATCTGTGGCTAAGATCTAGCATCTGTGTGATCCCAATATTAGGGTTACGGTTTATATACATATATATATAGACTTAGATGGCAACTGGTCTAGGAGAAGGAGAACTCTGTATTCAAAACCTGCGGAGGTTCGTCTGGGAACCTTGTAGCATTCGGTGCACCAGGTCTCTGTATTCGTCCCTTCAAAAAGCGTGGATGGTCCTGCACGAGGCCTTCACCACTATAATCAAATCTCATGTGTCGGTGTCGGGGTGTCGGTTTCCTGGAAACTGATCTGCTTGACCCTCATACGTCGAATCTCGACGGGAGAGTCGATTATATATATATATATAATGAACTCCGGGGGAGGATTTTACGTTTTGTTTTCGTTGATTGAACATGATTAACATGAATGAACAGAATCGATTTTATATTTGTTTGCGTGTATGTGTGCATGTATATATCATAGGGTGGGCAAACAAAGATCGTTACTTACCACTATCAAGCCGAGTGCTTCGCCATATTCCATACCAGAGCGAAACAGTTACTGCATTTTCTTCCTTTTTTATGGAAGAGTGTAGATTGCTTGTGAACCGGAAGTTATCTGTGACTGGACTATAATTTTCAGTCGCAGCGTACGATTAAAAATGAGGAAAGTTGAAGCTAACATATGGCACACAAGTAGATACCCAATCAGTATCTATCTATCTATCTATCTATCTATCTATCTATCTATCTATCTATCTATCTATGTCAGTCTGTTCGTATCTACCCGATCGGCGCTGTCACTCCAGCATGCTGGGAGGAAAAGAAAGACAGACAAGAAGTGTCCCGAATTTTATAGGTAATTGACAGCGCCCTCTAACGACTTCTTGGCAGAGCTGTTGAAGCTATGACAAGGTAACCCCCACGTGAAATAAACATTTGATGAGCCAAACGGGCGGCCTTTGTCAGGAGAAATCAGTCTAGCAAATAAGTACTTCTCCGTATATACCACTTTTCTTCTATCTATCTATCTATCTATCTATCTATCTATCTATCTATCTATCTATCTATTTCAGTCTGTTCATCTCTCTCTCTCTCTCTCTCTCTCTCTCTCTCTGTTTATATCTATCTATCTATCTATCTATCTATCTATCTATCTATCTATCTATCTATCTATCTATCTATCTCAGTCTGTTCACATCTATCTATCTATCTATCTATCTATCTATCTATCTATCTATTTCAGTCTGTTCATATCTATCTATCTATCTCTCTCTCTCAGTCTGTTTATATCTATCTATCTATCTATCTATCTATCCTCAGTTTGGTAATTATCTATCTATCTATCTAGAAGTTTATAACGCATTTCCAACACTTTCCCTTTTTCAAACCTTTTTATTTTCTCTTCCCAAATTTCCTCGACTGATAAAAAACAAAGCCGATCAAGGCGGCAATTTTTCAAATTATACTTTGACTCCCGTGGTCAATTTTTCTTCCATTTCTAGGCAAGAGTTCATCAAACGAGAAAGATAGATAAATAGAGTTAAATAAATAAATTTCAGACGACTTTATCAGATTTTTAGATCTTTTATCTCTGATACTGCATATGCCATTATAAAGTAGTGGCAGACCCGCTTTTTCTCTGCTGTACTGAAAAACACAAGTCATTCTTTTCTTTTTTTCTTTCCAATGGCGCCGACCTACAACCACAGTCTATTCACCCAAACATCATCCATCGACAGACACCCACACGTACACACAGGCGCACACACAGGCGCACACACAGGCGCACACGCATACACTGATATATACAGGGTGATAGACCCCTCTACACGAAGACTCATACAGACACGTACATATATAAAAAGAGACTTAGATATAAACAGGTGTGCAGACGCACATGCGCAAAGAGACCCAAACAAATACAGAAACACTAAAAGATGCATAAAGACGCACACAGGCAGTAAGATTTAGCAGAAACACATGCACAAAAAACTGACGCGGTGTTATAGTTAACAAACTTCATTTGCTAGATTAATTTATGACTGGGTAGTGAGTTCGATCCTCACTGGGTTCTCCAGGCGTCGTATCTAATTATTTCTAACCTTATGTCACTTTCAGCAGAGACGTGAACACACTGAAAGTAATACACGCACTTTGGATATATTTCTTTTTATGTGCCGTGTCCTTTCAGGACATAGGCGATCATGGATCTCCACTACTCCCTCTCTCTTGTAGCTCTCAATAAGTTTCGTCCCTCTGACCCCCAGGCCACGTTTTGTCATCCACTTGCTTAAGCCCGCCAAGTATGTCATGCCTTTCTGTACCTTGTCTCGCTTTCTCTCTATTCGACCTGTAAGTATCAGATTCACGTGTCCCAGAATTTTTAGCTGCCTCTTCCTTATATTAAGTATAAGCCTCCTCTTTGTTTGCCTCCTCACCAAGACCTCATCGTTGCTCACACGCCCGATCCATGATATCTTCAACGTCCTCCTGTAAAACCACATCTCCGTCGACTCGAGTCTCTTCTTCATCTTTGAGGAGACTGTCCAACATTCACCGCCCTAAAGAAGAACACATGTCACGTAACAGTTCAGTACTCTTTTCTTTGTTGCCAAAGAAATCCTCCTGTCTCGCAATACTCTGGTCAGCTTTTGGAATGCGTCCTTGGCCATCCCACTACGTTTACGGATCTCAGTGTCGCACTTGCCGTCCTAAGAGAGGCTCCAACGCCAAAGCGTCAAGTAGGGGCGACAGTGGGCAACCCTGACGAATCCCACCGAGACAGCGCAAGAGCGCGTAACCGCTTTCCGTTCAACTGTACCACTGCATTTGGGGAGCGATAAAGGATGATAATCCTTTCATTTATTCATTTCTATGTTCTAAAATAAATATACTAACCTCTGTTTTGTGGATCAGTTTTAATATTTTATATCAATAGGATTCACTTGGATTACTTATTCACGGATTTTACATATATATATATATATATATATATATATATATATATATATATATATATATATATATTTACTAATATATATATGCCCATTAAGGAATTGTATTTCTGATCAATCAAAATTCGCAAATAATTATATAGGTCACACTACAAGATGTTTGACACACAGACTAACTCTACACCTTTCTGACAATAGCTAAATCAGATCTTATTTAAATATTTATGGAGACCTACCGGACACTATTCGTAACATACTTGTTGACAACACTAATCATCTACATGCAAAAAAGGCTAAAAATAATGGAAAGCCTTATTAATAAAAAGAAACAAACCAACACTTAATAATATTATCTTTGAACATGGACATAATATCTTAACCGTGTTTTGAAAAACCAAAAATATGAGAAAATTTTATAAGACATACATACAGCAAACTATTTCTTATTTTAACAGTTAAAATATTTAATCCTTGAAAATGGTTAAATGTATAGCCGAAAGCCCTCGGATAAAAAGAACATTCGGACAGTTTTTAGATAATTTATCATCTGAAAAGAAAAAAAAATTAGATAGCATGAGAAATTGTATAAAAAACTAAATAAAAACACATTGTCTGTCGTTTTCAATGAAATGTGCATGATAGAAGGATTGTTGCCTAAATACGTTGAAGGTGAACGTAGGAGAGGACGCTAACACAAAAATCTTGCTGGACAATGTCAAACAATGGACAGGTATGACTATATGCAGATGGATGCAGTTGATATCAGTTGTCGAAAAGAGTTACTGTGGCTTCTGATGATTTATTAATATATACTTAATAGCTCTGTGATATTACATCGGGCACTATTTTATCAACACCAGCACTTAATGACCCATATCTTATATATATATATATATATATATATATATATATATTATTTAAAAAAAAAAATATGATTCCTTCGCTACATAAGAGTTCTCATGTTTCAAAAACGAGAGCCGAAACCCTTAATGTAATTATTAAAATTAAATTGAATTAAAGTATCGAGCCCTGTTTCATCCTCAAGCGAAAGTTTAGGAATCTTTTGGGTTTTGTTTTTTTGAAGCATGAGAACACTTATGTTGCGAAGGAATTATGTTTTTAAAAATAATTATATATATATATATATATATATATATATATATATATATATATATATATATATGTTCAAGTAATTCATCGAGTCTAGAAGAATCCTCCATAGAATGCAGAAAGCACTGGACGGCCATTTTGTCCTAATTTGGGACTCATCAGCAGTGTGCATGCAATACGGAGAATCGAACCCGGACCAGTACGATACGATACAAGGGTCATACCCACTGGACCTAAGTGACGAAGATATAACTAATTAGACTCGGCATAGCGCCCCTACTCAGTAAATTCCGTGGTGTAACTCATCTAAGTATAGTTAACCCAACAGATTGTGACCCAAGAGCAACGTTTTCTTTCCTCAAGCAGCTCGCTCGAGATAGGAATTTCTATTACTTTTATACACACACACACACACACACACACACACATATATATATATATATATATATATATATATATATATATATATATATATATAGAGAGAGAGAGAGAGAGAGAGAGAGTATGAGAGATAATATTAGTGGTAAATATACACATACATATGTAATCATATATCTAAAATATATAAATATATATACATACATACACATGCATATATATTTGTATAAAAAATAATTCCAAGAGGATAGAATCCAGGTAGAACTCAATGTCCAGGACAGAGTAAGGATATAATAAAAAGGCTTAAACACTAATATTCCATGGTCATAATTTATTCAATTGGAATCGTAAATACGATCCAATTCATCAGACCTACAAATTTAAAAAGAAAACAGAAAAAGCAACTCCGGGAATAAAAAAATAAAATTTAGTGAGAGTGTATGTATGAGAGTGTGGGACGAATGTTAGAGTAAATGAAAGCTATAGGGAGGGGTAACAGACGAGAGAAGAACAGGAAAGTTTAAAGATGAAGTGGGGGGGGGTTAAAATTTAACAGAGAGAAATTTTAAAGAGGGGAGTCAAAGACGGTTTAAGTGAGAGAAATATGAATGTTCTCGGATGTCTAATACATTAAAGATGTAACCAGAAAGGATACATTTTGTGGTGACATACGCACACAATAGACGGTATAATCTTAAAGATCAGAAGATGAGAGAGGGTGAGGAAAAGAAAAGAAAAATGGATGGGGGAGGGAGATAGGGTGGGGGAACTAAAATATATATACATGGTGTCCATAGAGTTCGTGTGCACGTTAAAAAAATTATAACTTTATTTGTATTTGCGATAGAAATAATTTGTAAAAAGGATTAGAAAGAAGTAAATCTGTATTTTTTAAGGTTTTATTGAAATTTCCACATGTCCTCCATCATTAGCAATACAAAGGGTAATACGATTTTGCACTTCACGGAAAACATTTGTCAACTGATTTACAGTAATGCCTGAAATCACATCAGTTATTTTAGCTTTCAAATCTTCTAATGAACTAGGTTTGGTTGCATACAAAACTTTTTCCACATGTCCTCATAAAAAAAATCTAATGGAGTCAAATCTGGCGAACGTGTAGGTCAATAAAATGGTCCACCACTTCCGATTGTTCTGTTAGGAAATTCCTGATTTAGAAACTCTCTAACACGCAGAGCAAAGTGACAAGGAGCTCCATCTTGTTGAAACACTGGATTATAAAATTTTTTACAGATGATTTCTATCGCAAATACAAATAAAGTTATAAATTTTCTAAGGTGCACACGAACTTTATGGACACCCTGTATATATATATATATATATATATATATATATATATATATATATATATAGATAGATAGATAGATATAGATATTTTGGTCCCAAAAGCATATTTATACTTTATACTTTTGCAAATATTTGGTTTATGCATACATTAATAGGTTTCTTTATTTCACAATCAACCAGTATTTTTGTTTCTTACGATGTCGACATCTTTAAAAATTTCCTTTTTCATACCTTTCAGAAAATCGACAGTAACGGGAAAGTTTGAAAGTCTGTGTCAGCTTCAAAAATTCCTCACAAAACTGGCGAGGCTTGATTGAAAAGAATTTGAAAATGTTTTTTATTAATTTAAACATTTTCATTGTCACATTTGTCAGAAAAAAATATGATTTTTTTCACTTTTTCATTTCAAGTAGTTTCGATATTAAAGATGCAGCATACGTTTTGAAACTTTCATCATCAACCATCATTTCATCATCTATCTATCGCAGTTCATACATATCTCTTTACCTCAGTCTGTTCATGTCTGTCTGTCTGTCTGTCTCTCTCTCTATTTATCTATCTATAACGCTAAGCCTGTTCATATCTATCTATCTATCTATCTATCTATCTATCTATCTATCTATCTATCTTCATATCTGTCTGTCTGTCTGTTCATTATCTATCTATATCTCATTTTCTTCATATCTATCTATCTATCTATCTATCTATCTATCTATCTATCTAAGCCTGTTCATATATATCTCTCTACCTCAGTCTGTTCATATCTATCTATCTATCTATCTATCTCAGTTCATATATATCTCTCTACCTCAGTCTGTTCATGTCTGTCTGTCTCTCTCTTTATCTCTCTATCTCTCTCTCTATCTATCTATCTGTAATTAAGAATAAAATTTCGGAATTCAATAAAGTTAAACCAGCTATAGTACAAAGATGTTCCGTGTACCTGTGTTTTCCTTGCTGTATAGTATCAGTGATAGATATGCTAAGCGTGTTTCTTTAACAGTTCGACATTGTTTACTTTGCTGCTAACAGTTGTGTAGTTTTTTTTCCGCCAAACCTCTCTTTCCATCTATGCGGAAAGACGTTCTTCCTCCACATCATAATAGTTCTTTGATTTATTCATTTAAATGTAGTTGTGTTTCAAAGACTGGATTTCAGAATAAATCAACACGTACCAACAAAAATCCGAAATCTTTAGTGTCCTCCGTCAGTCATTCCGACCAACACATCCGGGTCTTCCATCGCGGATCGCCTAATAACTAAGCAGAATTGCGCCACTAAATTCAGTGTGGACTTATTTTCTATCCTTAGTAAGAATCACTCGCATTAACACTTAAAAGTATTGGAGGCCATATATATTTTGTCTTTTAGACTTTCGTTATGTAAACAGAAGGATTTTGTACTGGGCCTTCAATTAATTTCCATTCAAATATTTTTTTTCCTTTCTATACATATTATCTTTTTTTTTTGTTAATTCTATATGTATTAAGCTCGATTTAGCTCTGTTGAGCGAGGTTCGAAACCGGTCAGCTAGCTCATTTTTCAATTTTAATTATTATAATGAATGGTAATAAATACAAATTTGGTTGATTCATGGCGGTCATAAAACAGCGAGAAACACTTTTCGCTTTGTGAATTTTACAACATATCAAGACATATTCGCTTATTTCATGTCGAAATCTGTTTTCCTTTTAAATTCAACGACATTCCATACGTAAATATTAATAGTATTTATACTTAAGTCTAGGGAAAAAATAGTCTTTTCTATAGTTTGATTTCTATATTTTTGTATACTTGAGTTTTTTTTATCGCATTTTAATACTTGTGTAGGCTGGCATCCCGCTCTCACACTTTCACTGTCGAAACTCCTAAATGTAGCCGTCTCTTCTACTCCAATAGCTTCATGTCTCTCACCTCTCGCCTGTGGAACTCCCTACCCTATTTCAGTTTCCCTGATAGCTATAATCTCCAGCTATTCAAATGTAATGTCAGTCGACATCTCCAGTTGACTTGATCTATCCACTATCCTTCTCCTCATCTTTTCCTCTATCACTCCTATCTGATCTTTCTCCAAATTTTCTGTAACCCCTTGCGTCTTAGTGGCTTCTCGCCTTGCTTGGGGTGAAACGCTTAAAAAAAATAATAATGAGCTCTCTATAGAGGTAACACCTTTGATGTCTGGGACGCTGCATATTCCGGTGGACGGGCGTCAGCTCTAGTCTTCAACAATCTTCTAAATCTCTTACGTGATGGTTCCAAGTTGCTATGGCTTGGCAAACTGTTTCAGTTGGCGGGCTAAACTCACTTGAGGTGGAGTTGATGACACGACACCACTGGCCAAAGGACCTCCTCGACGCAGCTCACCGCCCAATTTTCCTCAGATGAACTACAACGGCTACATGTTCGTCACCAAGTTGGAGGACATCGGCTGTAGTCTAACCTGGAGAGAGATAGTCTCCGCCTGGTTAAAACGCTCAAAACACGCCACATGATGAGCACACAAAGAAACCATTCGCAGAGACCCATGCTCTGGACCACAACCGCGACAGATGGAGGAGAATGGCGGCCAGTTCATCACGTCGACGCCATAACAACTCCTGGGGTTAAGGGCAACAGAAGAAGAATACTTGACTTCATAGGTAAATATTGGTTGGATTTATTCTTGAGTCTTTAGGTAAATCTTGGATGTATTTATATTTGAGTAAAAAGTAGTCGTGTTTATATAAAAGACTATGGGTAAGAGTTTTTTATTGATCGAATTTATACTTGAGTCTGTAGGTAAACAATGCTTTTTCTAAACTTGAGTTCATAGATAAAGATTTGACATATGTGTACTTAAGTTTACTGGTTCTCTATTTACATTATTCGGACTATTGTCCTCATCTTTGTCGCCATATTTATTACAACGTTTCGGTCGGAGCGTACAACGGCCGAAACGTTGTAATAAATATGGCAACAAAGATGAGGACAATAGTCCGAATAATATAAATAGTGTACATAATACCTCATCTAAAAAATATAGACAGATACTAAACGGTCGAAACGTTGTAATAAATATGGCAACAAATATGAGGACAATAGTCCGAATAATGTAAATAGTGTACATAATACCTCATCTCAGAAATATGGACAGATACTGAAAGGACTAAACGTTGTAATAAATATGGTGAAAAACATGAGGCCAATGGTCCGAATAATGTAAATATTGTACATAATCCCTCATCTCAGACATATATACAGATACTGAAAGGCCGAAACGTTGTAATAAATATGGCGACAAAGATGAGGACATAGTCCGAATAATGTAAATAGTGTACATAATACCTCATCTCAGAAATATATACACTGACTGGTTCTATTTAGAATGGAGTCTATAAATAATTATTAGTGTTTTTTAATATTTTAGTCTATATGTAAATATTGACTCAGTCACTATACAGTTTTGACTGGATTTATTTGACCTGAACAACCAACAGATCCTGAGAGATGGTGATATAACAGTGTCTATTATTGGCGGACATGACAATATCTGATTAATGGTAACACTGTGCTGAGGGCGTATTGAATACAAAAGAAATCAGAAAAGAAAAACACTGAAGGTACTATTAGAAAGCATTAAGAAGGTGTTAGTCATTGACTATAAGAATTCCTGGTTGTCAGCAAAAGAGACCGTTCAAATTCTGAGTTACGTATTAATAACAGGGGGGAATATCTATACATTTTTATATATCAGAACAATTTTAGGAAAATATATAACAAAGTGGAAAAAAAGCTTTCGAGGTGACGCGTTTCATCCTTTAGATCTTCATTGGACTAAAGTGATTTTTATATTGATGTGACTACACATGTGCATGGAGGAGAGGGGACGCTGAAACTTTTAAACTTTTAAATTAATTTTGTTTAAATATGTGTTTGGGTGTATAGTCTATCCGATTTCATTTATTTTAACTTACTTTTTGTTTTTATAACTTTTGTTAGTAAGTACCCCATATAATAGTACATCCCATTATGATAATAGAAAATCTGCCAAGAAAGGGTAAATTTTACAAGAATCTGAATGAAAATTTATTTCTTGATGCCATCAAAATCAAGCAGGTGTTTAATTTTCTTGCTCGATGTTCAAGAAACTCATTTTTTCAACAACATAATCTCTAGCGATTAAAAATTGATTTATTCGAGAATCCAGGATGAAGATAATAGTTTTACTTCCAGAACAACTTTTAACATTATAATTTAAATAGATGCGACAGATGAAAATTGACCTTGTTTGAAGTATTTCTTCATTAAGAATTGTTTGAAGCTAGATGAACTATTACTGATACAGCGAGCAATTGGCTCATTTGAATGTCCCAATGGAAAAGAAAATTGTTTTTTTTTCCATCTAATCCTTATTTTGAAAATGTGACGCAACAAATAATAAGGCACCCTCTACACCACGGGTCGGCACGCGCGCCACATGTGACACGCTAAACAATTTCCAATGGTGCGCATCCGCAAATGACATCACAATGTCCGAACCAATAACTATAACAACGCAAAGATATTTAGCTGTTACAAATCTGCTAACTCGTTGGACTATCATTAATAATAATAAAAAAATTTTTAAAGAAAAACTTTTAAAAGAGTTTATTTCTATTAATGCATTTGTAGACTCGTCTTTTTCTTACCTATCACCCCTAGCAACAGAACAGTCTATATCTTACGCCTACGTACGGAAAACTCCAATCTAGCTTGCTGATTGGTCAGTTCCAACCAATCAAACCGCCTGCACGCGACCAATCTGTTTTTCCCGCTTTCTTCGTTTGAGCCTCCCAGTGGTACACGGCCATTATATAAACCGAACACGTGTGAACTTTTTAGAGGAGTAGTAGCTTTCTTTTCATTCATCTCTCTCGCACGTCTCATGATGTAACCTTCACCAATTTCCGTCTTAGTCATTGCTGACCAGACGTTAAAGACAATTACCAACATTCACGAACTCTGAAATCACTCTCGAACTTTAACCAACTTTAGAAAGTCAGTAACAAACACCCACAGAGAAATTGCCAACATACTCCACGTCACTCGAAATAACGATTTTACTGCGCAAAGGTACATCAACGCTGACTCACTCACGATCAAAACTCAACCAACTCTGTGGACATCGATTGTCAAACGTTGCTTATCTAAAGTGAATTGTATTCACTACCTATTAAGTAAATATCAATGTGCGAACGACCTTAAAAACATTACAGTCAAAGGTAGATCACTCCTTAAGAACTCCTTCTAAAAAGACACTTAATATCGACAAATATTAATATCAACACAAACCTAAAAAGACTGTAAATGAACGAACATTTACAAAGAGAGACATTCTGAAATCTAAAACCTCATACACATTTTGCCAACATAACATATACCAATTATCCTGCTTGTATATTGTTTTGAATTGTATATAAATGTTATATTAGTTTCTAATTGAATATGTCTTGTTCTTAATCGTATTTTAAATTTCATTTATTTATTTGTTGTGGATGCAGAAAGTCACGCAACCTACACAAATTCCTTCGGATTCTTTCAAGCATAATTAATAAATTCTGCACGTCCCCAACATGTTTTCCATATTTTTGTATATATTACTATATAAAATATATTGTACAACAGGTATATTCACCTTGACTTGTACAAAAATACATATGCTGTTGGCACACTGAATGATTTTAAAGACCCTAAGTCAGCACATAATAGAAAGAATAGCTTTGAATATTGAAAAAATGATCCTCTGCATTTAAACTACCACATTTTTGTCTGTTGTTCACTCAATAGTAGAGGGTTACTGAATGAGGTTATTGTACATAGAAAACTGTAATGATCGGGGAAGCATCCTCTCAGGAG